ATTCATACTTCATCCATTCATCTTTTCATGCTTTCATTCATATAACAAGTATTTATCAAAGGGCAGCATGCCAAATAAGAGTTTAAAAATCTCAGTCTGGTGCCATGGACTTCGAGCTTTACTTGGCAGTGAGAGTTCTGGTCCCCCGAGTCCTAATCTGTATGGCAACACTCAGCAGCCATGCCCCTTGGGGAAGAGCCCTTTGCTCTCTGAACAGCCACCATTTCTGCTCAGCCAGTGCAGCTTCTGTCTCCTTTGGCACCGAGTTTGCGACAGATGTTTTTACTGATAAGGGAGCAGGATTCAGAGAAATAACTTGCCCACAGCTACAGGATTAGGATGGTTAGAGCTTGACCTGAATCCTGAGTTTTCATGCACAGTGCTCCAGTATCTTTCTGTGTTGTCATTCCCTTATTAATCTTGTCTGCACATGGCCCTGGGGCATCACCACTGTCTCCCTCCTGGCGTGACGGCCACCCAAATTCACTGTGTTGTATCAAGTGTTCTGCACAGACAGTCCTTAATGGCCCCAGGGGTTCGCCAGAGTTCATGTTTCTGTCTGAAAAACTGGAAAGGACAGACTGGGGCTCTGATTTGCACTTGACATGTAGAAAGGCACGAGACATTTGTCTCTTCTAACAGAGCAACAATAAGTTGGATAAATTATAAAGTCAGATTTTTGTTGTTGTTGATGGTGGGACCATCTGAGAGCTGAGGGCAGAGAACTTTAAATGTACTAAAATCTAGATTTTGTACTCTTAAGAGAATGAAGACTCATGCTACTTCCTTTTCTGGAGGGGAGTGGGAAGGGGGAGGAATCTGCTCTATGTGTGTGTGTGGGAGGGCGGGAGGGGGTCACTCTGCATGTGTAAGCAACTGGCCAAAGCTCTAAGCTGCTGCGTAACTAAGTAAAATTCATGTGGGGCACACCCATCTATCTCAGAGAATTCTGCTTTTCAGATCTAGAAAATGCTTGTAATTCTGGAACTTGTAAGCCCAAAGGGGTTAATCAGAAGCAGAGTTATCTTTCCCTCTGCCTACTATGTTTCTCCAAATTCAGGCCTTTGGTGACAAAATCCATACCTCATTCTGCAGTGAGTGTCCACCTATGTTTTGCATGTACTCTTGGGATTATTGTCTATTTTTAAATTTCTTTTTAAGATTTATTTGGTTATTGGTTACAGAGAGAAGGAGAGAAAAAGAGAGATTGAAATTGGGATTTTATCTGCCGGGCCAAGTCAAAGTCTGGAGTCAGAATCTTCATTTGGCTCTCCCAAGAGAGTAGTGCGGACTAACTCAAGGAGGGGGAGCAGGGAGAGAGACGTGGAATACATTTCATTCTAATTGCTCTGTGTTCCTGCAGAGTGCTTTAGAGGTCCTTGTCTTTTCCCTTTGGTTTTGATTCCTTTGCGTCGTCTCAACATTTGCAGTTAATATTGCCCTGTGTGCAGGATTGTTCCGTCTTAAGTCTTTTAAGTGATTGGCAGGTGGAGATCTGCGGCCAAACCTGAAGCAATGGCAGCCACTTGAGGATGTTTATTTAAAAGTGGGCTGCTTTTTTGTTGTAAGTATTTCAGTGTCCTGTCTGGCAGTTCTCTATGTAGCATTTCTGAGTTCTGTGGGTCTAGCAAGGGGACAAATTCTGTTCTCTGTACTATATTGTGTACCAGGCACCAGCTGTCTGCTTTAAGGGCCCTTTGAAAAAGTTTATGGAAGATGGAATTAAAAGATTAATGTATGTTTGTATAAAAACTTTGAAATCCACACATGTGGCATCTTCAAAAAGTTCATGGAAAATGCATATTTTGCAATAAACTATGCATTGATTTCAACGTTTTTGCACTAAGATAAATTTGATCATTTAATTCCATTTTTTCCCACAAGGTTTTTGAAGTACTCTTCTGTTACCTGCTTAATTTTTATCTCAAATCCTGGAAGCAGGTGCCATATTTTGCCTTTATTTTACAGAAATAGCTTCTGTGCTATTTCTCCCTATTCAGGTTCTAGATGAGGGTTCAGCAAATTCAGCGAATTGTTTGTTTCTTTCAGAACATCCAGTCTTGGCTGTAACTACTCACTTTTGCCATAGTGGTATAAAACATTTTCAGTAATGGGGCAAGCATTTCACCCTTAGTGGTTAAGGTGCCTGTTTTGTAGTACCTGACTTTGACACCTGGCTCTGGCTTCTGGATCCAGCTTGAAGCCAAAGCTGGCTCTGGGAGGCAGCTGAGACGGCTCAAGTAATTGAGTCCCTGCTTCCTGGGTGGGAGTCCCAGCCCTGTGACAGCTGTCACAAGCCTCTGCTGAGTGAGCTAGTGAATGGAAGGGCTCTGCCATTCCCTCCCTCCCCTTCCCTTATTCTCGTCCTCTTTCCCTCTTGTTCCCCGTTTCCCTCTCAAATAAATAATTACATGAAGAAATAAATATCATTTTAAGCATTTATTTATCGATACTGGAATTTGAGTGTCATGTTTTCATGGGTTCTGAAATATTATTCTTATAAATAAATTAACCTGTTAAAAGACATTGATGTCATTCTCAGCTTCACGGCTATACAGAGTCAGATATTGGCCTGGGTTTGGCTTCTAGGTCATTGCTTTAGATTAAAATGGAGACATTACTATTTTTCAGTCGTCTAAATACCAGTCACCTGGGAAGAACTGCTTTCTTGTTGACTAGGTACAGGGTTTAGAATTTGAAAATATTTTCTACAGGACACGACTGGAGCCACCTTGAGTGTGAAGGCCTGTGCTGTGGCACTGAGGATGGTGCAAGATGGTTTTTATCCATAAACTATTGGTGACAGTGTTGGTGGAAACCTTGGGAGGCACAGTGGCACTGGGTTAACCTGCACGCTGTTTGCACTTAGTGGCCATGTGGCCCTGAGCAAGTTATTTTCCTCTGTGAGGGTCAGAATCCTCACCTTTTAAAAAAACATAAGGATCTTTCCTTTAATGGTTTGTGCAAAAAATTGTGGATTGCTTAGCAGTGTAAAATATTATGTAGTGCTTGGGGTAGTAGAGTTTAGTACTAGTTAGCTCTGTGTGTATCTGTATTATATTTTTCTCCAAAACTGCTGGCGAGGGATGCCTTAGGATTGCCTGAGAACTAAATCATCTAATGATACAATCATCTAATGATTATTTTATTACAAATTCGTGGATTTTTTCTATACTCTTACACAATTATGTGACATGCATGAATGATGCACTTACTTTATGAAGAATAATTGTAAAAAATATTCATGATCCCTTTGTCTGCATAGGAATGAGATGGTTATGAGCTACTATGAGATCTCCTGTATGTCCCTTCAGGCCCTTCCTCTCCACCTCCCACTGTGCACTTTTTCACATTGTTTTTAAACATTTCATTCATTCATACATGTCAATAAACAATGTATCGCTTTATTTTTGCCTATCTTGATTTTATATAGGAGGACTCACATTTTACTCTTGTATCTTGTTTTCTCTGTCAGTGTGATGTTTGAACCGCTCCCCCACCTCACCTCATTTATGCAGTTGTAGATTGTCATTCTCACTGCTGTATTGCTGATTTTTCATGGTGTGATCATGCCATGTTTTATACAGTAGCAGCTCATGTGCTAATAGGATGGCTCCAACTTGGTTTCTAACTGACAGGAAATCAAGGCTGTTGCTGCTTCCCATTCTCTTTTATTTCTTTTCCTTTTTTCTTAAACATGTAAGAACTGGAGAACACATAGTCAAGAAAGTGCTAAAAACACACATGTAAAGCTCATGAATTATTGCAATGTCAGAAAGGGTCACCATCACTCAGGTCAAATAGAGAACCGGCGATACCTCAGATATCCCTGTTGTTCTCCACCCAACATCTGTCTGTATGCAAGAGTCAGCATATCTCTGAATTTTAATACTTTTGTTTTGCTTATGTTGAAAGTCCTAGAAATGGAAATAGTGTGTATTCATTTATGTCTATAGTCTTGTTAAAGTTTATTTTTGTGTTAGTTATTTGCTTTGTTGGACATATCTTAGAATCCACATATTTTTGATTGCACAGTGTCCCATTGTCTACCCATTCTTCTGTTGTTAGACATTTAATCTTTTTCTATTATAGTTAGCACTACCATGAAAATTCTCAATATTTCTTGATGTAGCCTGCACTAAAATAGCAGTGGGCGAGACTGCTGTGTCTGGACTGAGTTAGCGTATTCAGAACCCACTAACCAGCATCTCTGAAGCAGGGAAAGAAGAATAAGTGGTTGGTGTGAAGGAGGTTGAAAGAGAAAGAGAATGGAAGGAGTGATCAAGAACAGATAGGAGTTGTTGGATTATAAGGGTCCATATTGTGATCGTGATGGAGAAATAAGACATCCTCAAACATGGGTCAGATTTAGTGTGCTGAGGGCAAGGAGAAGATGTTGGAACACTTTTGGGTATGCCAGTCTTTTAGGGATCTTAAAAGAGTAGAGGAGTGGAAGTAGATTAAATATTGCAGCATAATCACACACTTGGAAAAAGAAAAGGAACTCCTGTTATTTCTCAGAACAAACTCTTTAATTGCTAGTGTCATGTGATCATCCTTGAACTGGCTCAGATTCTCCCACATATATGTGATAGTGATAGCCAATGCAGGGTCTGAAATCTTGCACTGTCCTAGTTTAGACATTAACCTGGAAAGGATTTCACAGTCATCCACAATGGTAAGCTTTATCACCTCTTGAGGCCATGACCTTGTGTATGTCCTGGAGGTCAGTGCTTGGATTTAATGGTTACGATTTCCTTTCAAAATTCAAGGCCTCTCATGGAAAAGTTGTTAATTCCTCTAGTTTGGATGGCCCTGTCTGGACTTGTTGGTCAGGTAACAGGATTGCCCAGTTTTACCCTGAGCAAGGAGTGGTAACCTCATTTACCTTGGATCATCTTTTAAATGCGTGGGAAGGAATGGATGATGGGGGATCCTTGTGCTGAAAACAAAGTGCCGTATTTCTGTTGTTCTCCCTTTTGACTTTTCTGTAATTTTAGAGGCCAGAGCCCACCGGTTGCTGAATTTAACTTGCTCCTGAAAGCTCACACGTTGGAAACCTATGGGGTGGATCCTCATCCGTGTAAGGTAACTGTCCCCTATGAAACTACCGCACAATAATTGCTTGGCCCCTGGAGAGAAATACAATGGTATGCAAAGAGCAAATCCTTCTGGAGAGATTTCCACAGTATGACCCCCACCTTCCTTTGGAAGTGGGCTTTGCCTCAGTGTTGGCAGTTTTTTTCTCCACTGGCAATTTGCCAGTAGCTGGCTAATTGCAGAGTGGTAGCCAAAGTCTCCAGAATTAATAATACATGGGTTCATTCTTCAAGTGCATGGCTCCTCCCCACAAGACTAACTTTTTTACTTTCAAGGTCATTTTCAGAAAGAAGACAATCTTTAAAAATAGAAAAGGAATCTCCAGGTCTTTCTATTTTGTTGCAGGTGTCAAGATTCCATTAGTTCTTATGGCTAAATAATATTCCATCATGTATATGTGTCATATTTTCCTTACTCAATGTCAATTGATGAACATCTGTGCTAAGTGAGACAAGGCAGAATCAGGAAAAAAAAGTAGGGCAATTTTCTCTTATTTGTGGAAGTTGATATATATATATATACAGAGAGTATAAAAATGTGGGAATGTCATATCATTTGGTATGTGGTTACAAATATTACTTCACTGAATCTTACCATGTAAGTGATAATGCACTCTACTATTCCTGTTACAAAAATTATGAATTCTCACATTGTGATATTAATATCACTGTTTTCAAAATAGTATATATGAGTATTTATATAATGGCTACATCTGACATAAATGTGACAACAGGTTAAAAAATTGTTAAATTTTGAAGCTGAACTATTTAAAATGGGAAGCAGAAGAAAGATTTCAAATTGCATTTTGGCATTGGAAGTGTTTGACTTTTTTTTTTCTTTTTCCCTGTACTCACATTATTTGACAGTACTTCTCTCAAGGATGAAACTGTGTCAGCATGCCCTCGGCTCCAACCCAGAGCGACTGAATCAGAATTCATGGCTGTAGCTGCATGTGTTCACATTGTTCATGCTGATGGACACTTTGCGCAGAAATGATCTCTGTATATCTTCAATTATACATCCAATAGACACTATCCCTTACCCAAAACTATGCATCACTCTAGCCCAGTGAAAGAGACATGTTTGAACTGTCCTAAATCATTTCTTTAGCTGCATCGGAGCAGCGAGCAGCAGTTGGCCAAGGACTTGCCCTGTGGCACTCAGCTCGGGCTGCCCGGGGTGGCTTCCTAAGTACCCCAGAGCGTGCTCCAGCTTCTGTAGCTCAGGACCTGACAGGCTGGCAGCCAGACTCCCAGGGGATGACAATGAGCAGCTGTGGCTGAGGGCCTGGGGACTTGTCTACACTGACATTTGTCCACACAATTGTTTCAAATTATTTGCCAGCTGCTCCTTGCTCATAATGGTATAAATTATTAGATTCCGTTCAGCATTCAGTTTTATCCAGAAATTTGAGCCTCCCAGTTTATTTATTTCTTCGCTTGCAGATTGACTTCATTTTTGTTATTTTTTTTTCTCTTCATTGAATTTACTCATGACGTGTTGACTCTTTCCAGTCCTGTCTGGAGGTAAAGGAGCATTTTCTAGATGTGTTTCCATCCTGAAATAGCCAGATCTTGTGTGTGGGCTGGAATCAAGTTCAAGTCAGTGCTTAGAATTTGTTTCCATTGCTTCAGGGAGCTGAAGGCAATCAGGCATAGCTCGCTCCTCGTGTACAACAGACCTGGTAAACCCGCAGCCCAGGGAGACTTGCAAGGTGACCGAGTGATTGGGAGTGACCTGTGTTGAGTCAGGAGGCTCTAGAATGTCCATCCTGAGGAGAAATCACACTCTCCTGGCATCACCCAGACGCTGGAAGTCCCACTCTCACAAGTTTCTTCTTCGAAACTCAATCTATTACTGCAGTCTTTGGATTAACCTCAAATTAACCCATTTGCCAATGATTTGCATTCTTTCAATCCCAACAGAATTTTCCTTCTATTTTGTCAGGATTCAACAGGCACCACAACATTTTTAGGATTCACTGCAGCAGGCTTTGTGGTGTTCCAGGGAAATAAGAGGATCCACTTGATAAAATGGTGAGTCCTTTGTTGGAAAACTGGCTTATTGTTCAGTGCAGTGTTTCCTTCTCTCCTTCTAATTTTTGTTGTTGCTGTTGCTGGTTCAGGTTTTGGAGAGGGATGTCAGGTGCAATGTCTTTCTCTGTCTCCATCATGGGAAACTTCATCATGAAGGAATTTCCCGTCAGTCAACAAAACCCAACCTAGGTTACCTTTGGTGGGGGACTGTGTTTGTTAATTGAGGAGTCAACTTGGGAGACCTGGGCTCAGGGACTTGTTGTCAGACAGAAGGTGTCTGCTTCCTCACCAACAGTTTCTACTGCTCTGCTCAGAGAGGTGACAAAGTGTTAAGTGGAGTAACAGTGTACATGTTCCTGTATGTGCCTGTTTTCTGTTGCTGTAACAGAAGACCTGAGGCTGGGAAATGTATAAAGAAGAGGACCCACACTTATCTGGCTCATGATTCTGGTAGCTGGTGAGGGCCTCCTGGTTGTGACGTATCGTGGCTGAAGAGTATAAAGGGATGTGCTCAAATGAGAAGGCAAGAGGGGGAACAGGGGAGAAGCTTTTTATTGTAACTTACTTGTGAGGGAATTAACCTTCTCTGTGAGACCTAACCCATTTTGAGAGACCAACAGTAATCCTTTCACAAGGGCACTCATGACAGTCACCTCCCAACTGGTTCCACTTAAAAGGTTCTACTATCATTTAATACCATTAATCTGGAGACCCTTCTTCCAGCAAATAAGAGAAACCATAGCCAGACCAGAGCTGTTCCCTGCAGCAACCCACACCCTCTCTTTTGTTGAGTCTGTGGTGCAGTTACTCCGTATGTGGGTCAGTGTGTGCGTGTGTGCGTGTGTGTGTGTAATTGGAAGTACTCCAATTGCACGTGGCAGAACAGATTAGCTCATGAAAGTATTTTCATGGTTCGTACACTGCCTGATAACCCCAAGAACTCAGATCTTCATTTTCTTCTTTGCTGTCCCAGAATGGTGGCTTTGGTCCCACAAATCATGCATGTGACACTGACCCTCTTCTCTGGCTGATTGAATCAAGAGCTGTCCTTTATGGGCCAGGGATAGCATAATCTATCTGACCTTGTGATCTTGAGAAATGGTAAAGTCTAGAGTGTGTCAGTCAAGAAGTAGAAGATGAGAGATGGAAGACTGGAACCAGCAACTTCTCATGTCCAGTTAAGGGGCAAAGTAGTTTTGATAGAGGATAAGGAAGGCTGAGGTCCATGTTTATTGCAATATTGTTCTTACTCACAGCCTGACTCAGTTCCCTACTCCATGGCTTGTTGCTGTATACCCTACTAGATTGTGAACTTACCCTGAAGTTCAAGACCTGGGGCTTTGAGTCTGGAGTTCCTGATGGTCTGGGCATCCTCTGCGGCACTTATCTCAGCCTTAGTTTGTATTCTGTTTGTACTTGGACTTCTTCTAACTACTTTGTTAGTACTTCCTTCTTAGTACCAGCCTTCCATTCTAGCCTTCTGCAACAGATTAGCATTGGTCAGCCAATGTGCCTACTGCTATCTATACCTTTTGCTCTTTTTAAAGATCAACACCCCTTAAGGACCCCCCCTTTCTCTAAGCAGCTCCTCTATCTTCTCTATTATTATCTTTTGCTCCAATTCTACTTTCAACCCTCTCAGTGCCCAGTTGTTTCCCCTCCTCCACAGTTAACCTTCTCAGAGCTTTTATTTGCCTTTAATACATCTCTTAACGTCTCTGAGTCTCAGTATACTCATCCAAAAAAAAAAAATGGGAATCAGCTGTATCTGTCTGCTTTAGTGGGAGAGATAAATGACACAGAGCATGTGAATGCTTTGTAAATCTAGTGTGGCTACATGTGACCCACAATCTTTGGGGAACAGGAGCAATCTGTGCCACTTGTCTTATATTAGGATTACAAAAGACTTGGGATCCTGAAGGTGGCAGGTCCTCAGGTTTCTGAATTGTTTGAGACCTAGAGAAGTTAGGTTAGAAACAGGTGTGTCTCAAGTGTTGATGAATTGCTGGTCTCCATTCTTTGGGTTTCATATCTTTCCTGGGGTATTGAGGAGTGGTGATGGACCATTCACTGGCCCACTTCTTGTTGATGCCTGAGATGCAGTGATGATGTGAACCACATCTCGTCCAGGCTGCTTCTTAGGCATGTGGATTTGTAACAGTCATGTGTGTATTACTAAGATGGATTTTCTTCCCATACTAATCTCTGTGTGTTTGAATCCAGTCTCACAAATCCCTCTGCATAAATTAAAACAGATTAATGTGACTTCACTGTTCTTAGTCCCTCCACTCCCCAAAAGAAGTATAGGGCCACCATTCTATACTGGGAATCAGATAAAAGAAATCCAGAGAGTTCTCTTTTCACAGATCCTTGATAGCAAGGAGTTGGAGTCTCCAGGGAGCCTGCAGGCAGGTTTTAGTAAAACAGCTCCTGAAGATGAAATCTTAAGACACTCTTTGACCAAAATTTGTCATTCTTCAAGCTGTTTTCACAATTCTGAGCACCCAAATATGCACTAAAATATTTGTTGCATAAACAGGGAGAGTAGGAGTGAACATTTTTTTGCAGAATGGTGCCTAAGCTTCTTGAAGAATGGATGGGAAGGATAAGAAAGCCCAGGGTGACTCGGTCCTCTTGCTAACAATCACATACACCCACATTCTTCCTAACTTCTAACGTGGACCAGCACAGTTAGTGTTACTTGCTCCTTAATGTTCATAGATATTCTAGAGCTCCTTGGAAGGAAGATGTAGCCTGGCTGTACAAACTAGAGTAAGTCGTTTTGGGCTGTCTCTGGTCTTCTCTGGAGAAGAAGATTGCCACGTAATTCATTTGGGACTTTTCATTGCTAGTTAGACCTTCACTGATGAGAAGATAATATCGTGTTTCATTGCAGTCCGCCTGGCAGTTATGAGTCAGTCAGATACCTGTGAGAAAGCCAGGTACCTCGGGTAACTGCTATGTTGTCCCTTCTCACCCACAAATTTTCTTTTCTTAGGCCAGATGTCTGCAAATTGAAGTTTGAAGGGAAGACGTTTTATGTGATTGGCACCCAGAAGGAGGTCAGATCCTGCTTTTCTATGCATCTGTTCTTGTTGTGTGTGTGTTCAATTACTGAGCATAGGAGATATTTAGAAATGAAATATGCCTTTAGTGTTATGACTTCTCTCCCCAAAGACTGTGATTTCTCAGTATGGGATTATAAAGAAAGCTGTATGGTAAAAATATGATTGAGGAAAACAAATCAACACTAGGGGGTTTCCATGTTTAAGACTAGAATCAATGAGCAATACTGACTGTCTGCTTTTGTACAAAATAGAATGGGATAGACTTGAGAAGAATGGAAACTCAGTCTCTTTAAAATTTCTCCTTATTGTTTTCCATGATTCAGTTTTGTAGTTATAAGGGTTCCCCAACTCCTACCCCTTCCTCCCTCCCCATTTTCCCCTCTCACCATTTCCCCCCATATTATGATTACAGTAGTATAGTAACAGCTGCTAACATTCTGCTATTTAAGTGCATTGTGGTTTTGTTGGTATAGGAAACCTTTGTTTCAACCTCTTCTTACCAAGACACCATTCTATGGTGACAAATGAAGACTCTTGCCCATGATGGTTAAAGTGTTAGAAATGGAGTTCCTGAGTCCTAGGATGCTTGAAATAAATGCACAAAGAGACAAAAGTTTTGGCTTCTTCAGAAAATGCATGAGAAAGAGGCTGCTTTGTTAAGCCTGTGAGTGGGCTTTGCAAGTTTTTGAATTTCTTTGACCCTTGTTTCCAGCTCACGTACTTATTATCCAAGGCCAATAGTAATTAGGAATCACCCTAATAGGTTTTCAGGCTAACCAAAAGCTGATAGGGAGGTGGATGTTGCCTGGGCTGTGGAAGCTGCTTCTCTCTCTTTCTCTCTCTCTCTCTCTCTCTCAATTGCTCTTCTTCCCTTTCCTTTTTGTCCACTAAGAAGGGGGGCCTGGCTGGGTGGGACATTTATGCATCGGATGAGGCCAGAGGAGAGAGCGTAGGCAATACTCCTGCGTTATTTACTGCTGTGGCTTCAAGCTGTCTGGTGGGGGCATGATCCAAACAGCTAAACACCTCAGGGGAAAATAGAAGGAGAGTAAACTGTGTCTAACATGCTCTTTCTTGTTCTGTTCTTTTTATTAGAAAAAAGCCATGCTGGCATTCCACACTTCAACACCAGCTGCCTGCAAACATCTTTGGAAGTGTGGGGTGGAGAACCAGGCCTTTTATAAGTAAGTAGCTACTACTCAGTTAATCACAGGTTTTCAAAGCACCCATAGAGCCATTTATGTTTCTGCAAGCAGCTGCATTTTCTTTCTTTCACTGTTCCTTTCTGTGAGATTTAAGCAAATCACAAATTCAAGCATCGTTTAGGGTGTTTCCTAATTGTTGTTGGTCTGTCCTCATTCTGAGTTATATGCTGTGTATTTCTGTAAAATTGGTGGGGTTCTTTGGAAATGATTATTTCCATTAATGACATCATAGAGCTTTTCCGATTGGTGCTTCCCAAAAGCAAACCTTGAGATCCAGGATAGTGCAAGCAAAGCTTCTTTGGAATGTAGCTAGGGGACATTGCAGAAAGGCAGTGGGAAGCAAGTCCTAAAGGGCATGCTGTTGAGCATGTCCCTCCCATGAGCAGCAGCTGGGCTCAGCTGTGCCAGGGACTCTGGGAGAGATGTCTAGTATGCCCCCACTGGAGGGCAAAATGGTTGGAACTATTTATCTGCCAGTTGTCCATTCATGTTGGTTGAGGGTTACAGGGGAGCTTAGTGTCCAAGTCCCATCTTTGATTCTAAAGGATCCACTGTGGGCACCTCTGGGATTAATGTCTCTTGTTTCTTTGCTCCAAGCTTTCCTAGGCAGAGGTCTGGCTGGCACTTTAGTCTTGGCTGGCAGAGAAAGGCCCTGGTTTTATTTCTTGGCTGTGGGTGGTCGTGCTTTTTCATTTCTGCATCAGGTGCAAGGGAACAGGGAAACCTGGTGGCCATGCCCACACACTCCTCAATGTGCTCTGAAGATGTGAGCATGCTGGGGTTTGTCTGGGGTCATCCATCTGGGTTGAAAACCCTGATGCTGAGGTCTGCTGCCTGGGCACTGAGCCCAGAAACAGAAACTCTGGTTTTTCTGTTTCCTTCAGGCCGCGGGGGATCCCGATTGCAGACTTAGTCACCAGGTAAAAGCTTTCTTGATGGTATTTGTTGTCTGGATGCTCCAAGGCCCAGTACACTGAAGGCCATCATTTCTGTGTCACTGAAAATTTGATGGGTGCAGTGAAGGATTCAGTGGCAACCTGGTGCTTTCATTCACTGAGTCATCTCACACCTGTGTGCTGTGCATGCTAGGCATGGGTGACATGGGCAAGCTCCAGGGAACCTCTCTCTGCTTTTAGCACAGAATTGGATGCAAAGGAGAGAGGCAGTTCCAGATAAGTTTCTCACTTGGCAGTTGGTGTACTAGAGAAACAAACACAGACTAGCTCTCCATATTGGTGTCTCTCTGCCACCTCCACTTCTACTCCAGGAAAGTATGTCTGGATTTCTCTGAGGGACCACATGTCTGAACCCTGATGCTTCTGAGGAGGAGGTGGGAAGCGATAACAGGGAGGGAAGGAGAGGACACTGGAAATGTGCTTCTCAGCAGACTGTGAATTCATGGCTTTTGGTGGGAGGAAGACTCTTCTCTTGGGCTTGTTTTATTTATTTGAAAGAATGAAAGAGAGAGACAGGGATCACTCTTGTGACTGCTGGTTCACCCAAATACCCACAACAGCTGGGTCTGGACCAGCCCAAAGCTGGGAGCCAGTAATTCAATCTGGGTTTTCCACATGAGCGGCAGGGACCCAAGTACCTGGTCTATCACCTGCTGCTTTGCAGGGCACATTAGCAGAGAGCGGGAATCAGGCACAGAGCAGGACCCAAGCCCTCTGCATTACACTCTAGGGGCAACAACCCTGCCAAAGAGATGGAGAGGCGCATTGGGATTGCTTTTCTTGGGTTCCCATAGGTAAGGTATCAGGACCACACTTCTCCAGCATGAGGGAAAGATGGGTCCATGATAGGTTAGGCCTTATAGAAGGAGAAGGGGATGCTCTGCGACCACCTTGTGGGGATATCTGGGATTTTTCATTCTCTTGGTGAGATGTGGTCTGGGAGGAAGCTCTGTACTGCAGGCTGCACTGCCTATTCCAGGTGTTAGGAGCCTCCCAGATGTGAATCCTCTTGTCTTGCCACCTTCTCTTGGTTCTACTTTGACAAGAATCTGCAGTCTTCCCCTCTGTCACCTCACCCCATACTGCTCATTCTAGTCAGTGTCCTGTTCATCTCAGAGCACACAAGGTGAGGTGGGGTGGAAGGGGCTTTTTTGCCAAAATAGTGGCACTGTTATTTTTCATTGTTTTCTGAGCAGTGGCAGAAAGCCTTATCGAGGACAGCTTGAGGTTAGGCCCTGCAAAGTTGGACTCTGGCCATCTCTCCGGGTGTCTCATTCCGCTTGGTACATCTGTATGTGCAATTTTCTTTCTTCATTATGAAAATCTGTGTGACAGGGTTGATGACCACAGAAGTGTGAGGAAGTGCCCTTCCAGCTTCTTATTTCCTCCAGTACTCAGACTGAGGGTTTCTGTGCCTGCTGCTCCTTTGGCTGACACGCCTATCACCAATTGCTGTCCCCCGTGAACACTCACTCGCTCCTGGATCTCCCTCTGAAGTCCTTTCCTCAGGGCCCCTTTCCTGAACTCCCGCATGAGATCACTTTGCCTCATCCCATGCCATCACTCCAGCTCTTCCTTAACTTCCTATTTGCACGAGTTACATCTTTTATGTGGTCACAGGATGAGTACTGGTCACGCCTCTAGACCTACCACTCAAACTACAGATGCCATGTGTCTTCCTGGGCTGAGAGTGTGCAGAGCAGCTGTAGCATCAGCTTAATGATGGCTGGGTGAAGCCTCAGACGGAAGGGGGTGGGTCTCAACCTGCCCCGAAGCTTCCGATGAAAGCCTGGCTTGGGTGTGTCTGTGCTCAGAATTCTCTAGAACATGCTGGTTGTATGTCTTTCAAATTATTGTTCACGTCATTGTTTTAAATAATCATAAACTTTGGGAAACGTATTCTTTTAGGTCTGTTGGATTTAAAATGACTGACTGCAAAGAGGCATCCTAAGCTGTCGTAGTAGTAGGGGCCCTGTATGTGGGCTGTGGGCAGCCTTGTTCTAGATTGCTTTTCAGAGTATTGTTTCATTCTTATTTATGAGTAGAGCTCATGGATGCTAAATCCATTCTTGGCTGGGCTGCTTGTCCCTTGTGTATCTTAGTCATCCATACTGTGGATTCTTTAAAGAACACTTAGTCATGGTGAGACAGAAGCCAGTGGCCACTCCTGTGCTGACACAGGCCCCAAGGTCCTTGGATTGGGTGGTGTACCATTAGTTCTTTGTCATGCACTGGGAGACATGTGCAGCTGGGAAACTTTATCCATTGCAGTGTTGACACAGGCCAAAAAGTGTTCTAAGTGCCACCATCATAAGACTCCATTCCTTCTAGCACTTGCAGATATACCCTGGGGATCTCTTCAGATCCATCAAGGTTGCTCAGTACTCTTGCCAAAATCAGTAAAGAATATGAAACCAAAGGTATGGGTCCTGATCAGTATCTACAGAGAACAAAAAAAATTGGATTTTCCCCCAAAGTGAAAGTACTTGTTCTTTTGTTAAACTTTCTCTCAGCTCCTGGTTGTGGTCCAAGCTAAGTGACAATAGACAATGTATTTGTTTCTTGCAGTCAGATTGTCTGATAGCCAGAGTTCTAAGGGCATGTTTTTCTTGCAACTTCCAATGTCATTGCCACCTCTGCTTTGCTTTCTCCTTTAAGGTATGCAAAATCCAGTCAGATCAAGACGGTATCCAGCAGCAAGATATTTTTTAAAGGAAGTAGATTTCGATATAGGTGGGTACCAACGCTTCTATTGTGGTGATAGAGTTGTTTGGGGGCAATAATTTGCTTGTGAGTAAGTGGGCTTATTATTATTCTGGGGCTGATGTTTGGCATAATGGGTTAAGCCACCACTTGTGACACTGACATCTCATTTTTGCTGCCATTTTCTGTCCTGGCTACTCTGCTTCTGACTAAGCTACTGAAGCTGGCAAGGCAGCAGATGACAGCTCAAGTCCTTGAGTTCTAACTAAGTACATGGGAAACCTGGATGAAGCTCCAGGCTCCTGGCTTTAGCCTGGCCCACCTGGCCCAGACCTGATTGTTGGAGGAGCCATATGAACAATTGAATGGAAGATCTGTATTATTCTGCCTTTGAAATAAAGAAGCCCATGATATAAATATTTTGTTCTTATATTAGTCTTTTTTTTTTAATATTCATAGGGCTCCCTCAACCCTATAGTAACTTCCCATCATGAAAGAAGAGGTAGATTCTTAGAGCTGGATCACATCAATTGAAGTTAAGAAAAAAAGTGGGTATGCATCTGTCTTCTCTGAGCATGTATATTATGCTTCTCTCTCTCTCTCTTTTCCAGTGGTAAAGTTGCCAAAGAAGTGGTTGAGGCAAGTTCCAAAATCCAGAGGGAGCCTCCTGAGGTGCACAGGTGAGTGTGGCGGCCACCTCGAACTTGATGACTTCTGCAGCATCACAGAGAGGTAAACGGCTTTTCCAGATCTGCTGGGCTGTTCCTGTATATAGGACACCCAGTATCAAATACAGACACTGTCCTCCCTGGAGAGATCCCTCGGACAGATTTGGCTGGGCTAGGGTGTGAGCACAGCCTGGCTCCAGCTTCAGTTATTTGCTCTGAGGAAAGTCTTGGGGTAGGTCTGCAGGATCCCATGTATGTGCTGTTTCCTGGCCAAGTGCCACTGGCCCATCCTCTTAGAACTGCTCTTGGTTTCTGCCATTGTTTGTCAGATGTGGTTAGATTCTGTTGGCCTAACAAGCGTAGGTTGTTTTACAGGTGAGAAGAGGCTTGCCTATTCCAGAACCTTCCATTCATAGGGCTACTCAGAATAATGATGGGCTGGGTCATTATGGGCTCAAGGGGAGGCTCTTCACAACGGTGGCCATCTAGGGTGATGCTGAGGAATTAGGTATTCTCTTAGCCGTACTGGAATTCATGCCACTGCTAGTTTCACAGCTGGTTGTAGATCCTCAAGCTGTAGGCACCATCTAGCACTGGGTGTTTTCATCATGATAGTTTCCCTTTTCAAAGGTGAGTTCATCACAAGCCAAGTTCTTCAGAGAGCTGCCCACATACTGGTTGGGCTGCCTGTCCTTCCTTCCACATCTTTGGAGCCACAGGTATCTTCATGCTCAGCTCTGTGTACCCTTCCATTGTCAGCAGACTGAGCTGGATGTCTTGCTACCTTGTCCCTCAGACTTGTGTTGTGGCCTCACAGAAGGAGGCTAAGTGAGCCTGGCTAGGGCACATAGATGCTACTCCCTCACCTCATGGTAGTGGTGGGGATAGGGGCAGGATCAGTTGGTGGAGATCTCATGCAGATGCATACAGTCAGTCATCTGACGGGCAGCTATCAGATACAGGGCTGCAAGACCATTCTCACTCTCTTTGTGCCACAGAACTAAGCTGTAGCACCTTGGTTGTGTGCATAGAAGTGGGGTGATGGGAATCTTGGTGGGATAATTGAAGATGTTGCCACCTGCCCGTCGATGAGAAGAGTCTTTTCCTATTGTAGTCATTTGATGCATGGCAATGTCCAAGAAGAAATGATGAAGTTTTGTTGGAACTGTTGCAGAATCCTTGGACTGGCAACGACCTCAGGGATGACCCAAGTTGATGCTTTCATTGTATAGACAAGTTCAATGAAAGCATCTGAGGTCCTCCATTTTTGGAGTGGCAAGCCAAAACCTGGAATGCACATGTCTTGTATCTGCGTCCTGAGCACTTTTTTTTTTCTCTGCAGCATTTGGCATTTTGACGGTCTCCGCTGGAGAGAATATTTGGCATTCTCGTGGAAGCTGGTGGCAAAGGCAGGGCTATCTCAAGAGGCCCAGTTTGGGTTTTATTTTCCTGGCTTGAATGTTTTGTTTCTTCTTATTTTATTTTTAAAAATGAGATTTATTTGTTTATTTTTGTTGGAAAGTCAGATCCACAGAGGGGAAAGACAGAGAGAAAGATTTTCTGTCTGCTGGTTCATGCCCCAAGTGGCTGCAATGACTGAACTGATCCAAAGGCAGAGCCAGGAGCTTCTTCCTGACCTTTCATGTGGATGCAGGGTCCCAAGGCTTTGGGCCATCCTCGACTGCTTTCCCAGGCCACAAGCAGGATGCAAGATGGGAAGTGGAGCAGCAGGGAGATGAACTGGCACCAACTAGGGATCTGGCATGTGCAAGGCTAGGATTTAGCCACTGAATCAGTGCACCAGACCCGGATGTTTTATTTTAAAAGAAAAAAAAAAAGACAAGATAAATATTCTAGGAGAATTCCTTGATGCTATAAACACAAAGCAAGAAAATGGTTTTTTTTTTTAACAATATACTTTCAGAGATACGTATTACAAAAGCATGAAACTTTCTAAGCATCTCAGAGTTACCACCAGAGATGGTTAATGAAATCAGAAATCAGAGTCTTTGTAAATCATGGTTTAGGTAGCTTGTGGAAATCAAGGCTCCCTATCTTAGGACTTCCTAGACTGAACTTGCTCAGGGATCCTGTCAAAATCAAATCCTGAGTTTTAGAAATAGGTGATGTTCCAGGGTCTGGGGAGCTCCAAGCCATAGCCATGTGCCTGGTCTGGGCACTACGCTTTAACCTGCTGGGCTATCAATGTCTAAGAAGGGAAGGATGGAAGGAAAGTTTTCCGAAGTGGAAAACTCTTGGAGGGAGATGGATCACCAGAAGAGAGGGAGATGGACCTAAGCTGAGCTGTTTGTCAATTTATCGCTTCCCAATTTTATTCTTTGGAATCTTCTCAATTCTTCCCAAGTATTACTGCAAACAAGGACCTGCAGCTTACTGCAATCTGATTTGTGTGGTTTTTCCTTGTCTTCCACTACACTATTTTGTGTGCATGTGAGAGACTGCTGGGTTTACATCCCCTCAGGCCCTGCTGTGTTCTTTGGTTCACTGGCAGCCTCTCTCAAATTTCCAGAAACACCAGGGAGGAGTTGGTTAATGTAATGATAGAAGTATCTTTGGTGAGAGCATTCTGTCCAACTTGGTCACTTCTGTGTCCCTCAGCACCTAAGCCAGTGCTTGGTACATGAGGCAAGTCAGCACATGTTTGTTGAGTGAATGAACGGGCTTGGGGTGTGTGGTGACCGCAGCACTGCTATGCGGGTGTTAGGTCTGGAATCTCTCTGTGGTGTTGCTTTGAGGACTTCTGCCTCCCCAGAGGCAGCATAACTGGCAAAAGTGATTCCCACAAGCTGCCAGCTTCTCCTTCTTCCTAATATTAAGTTGCAATGCTAGTAAAGTGTTTGTCTTAGGCAATTATTTTTGAATTATTTTACGCATCTTTGGTGTAGCTGTTGAAAGTAAGAATATAGTAACAGGCTCTCCTTCTCTGATAGTGGGTGTCTTAGAGAAGGCTGTTAGTCTAAAATGGCAGCAGAAAGCAGTAATTAGCTGTTTTGCCTCACACCTGAGATTGTACTCTTCCAAGACTGGCACATTGACAGACTCTGCATCTGCTGAGTTTTGTGTTTACTGAGAGACAGACACAGGCAGACCGAGAGTGTGCTGTAGTAGGATTATTTTTCTTTAAAGATAGGATCAGAAGCTAACTATGATTTTAGTGCACTGAGTCTTTTTATTTAAAGATTTATTTCTTTGGAAGCCAGAATTAGAGATTTTCCATCTAGTGGCTCACTTCCCATGTGGCTGCAATGCTCAAGGCAGGGCCAGGCCGAAGCCAGGAGCTTCTTTTGGGTATTCCCAAACACTTGGGTTATCATCAAATGTTTTTCTCAGGCCATTTGCAAAGAGCTGGGTCTGAAGTGAAGCAGCTGGGTCATGAGTTGACACTGAAATTAGATGCCAATTGCAGGTGATAGCTTTACTCGCTATGCCAAAATATCAACCCCCAACTCATTGGTTGTTAGTGGTGGCAGGATACCCAAGCAAAGCTTTCATGGCCTGGCCCCTGGGTGAGAGTCACCCTGTGATCCTAGAGGATCCAGGGTGAGAAGGGCAGGTGCTGAGCCCAGCGTAGGCTGAGTGAGCTCCCTGTTTATGGCAATCTCTGCTGGGAGGCACCCAGAAGTAGCCTTTGTACCTGAAGCAGGGACCTGTCCAAGGGAAATGAAGGGGTTCTTGGCTGTGTGGCTCTGAATAAAGCACTTAATTTCCCATAGTTTCAATTTACTCGTCTCATATGAGGCATGTAATAGAACTTGGCTTGCCTTCTAGGTTTTGAAACAAACAAACAAAAAATAGAATGTGCTCTGAGGATTATTAAATGTCCTACAAGCATGAAATGTGACATTATTGGGTCCTGGGGCAATGGCTCGATTAACTAGTCATCCCCTCGCAAGCGCTGGGTTCCCATATGGGTGCTGGTTCGTGTCCTGACCACTCCTTATCCAATCCAGCTTCCTGTTTATGGCCTGGGATATCAGCAAAGGATTGCTGAAAGCTTTGGGACTCTGTACTCACGTAGGAAACTCAGAGGAAGCTTCTGGCTCCTGGCTTCAGAATGGCTCAGCTGTGGCTATTTACAGTCATTTGGGGAGTGAACCAGTGGATGGAAGACCCTTCTGTCTCTCATTCTCTCTGTGAATCTTTCTAACAAAAACAAATAAATATTAAGAAAGGAAATGTGACATTATTACTGGCCTCTCATCTAAATATGAGAGGCTAGGTGGAATTTTTAGAGGCTTGACGATATTCCAGCACCACCTCAGTTGGTTCCCAGGAATGTTGCAGGGACTTCATGAACTTTTAGTCACTCTATTTTAACTTAACATTTTTCAGTCTTGTGTCTGCCAGTATAAGCATCCTTAACCAAGTTATATAACATAATATCTTTAAGTTCTTCTCTTCAAATATGGCACTTTCTTATATAAGAATACCTAGAGAAAAACAATTGTGTCCAGGATGATATCAGACAGATTTGCCAGTGTTAGAAGCTGCTTTCAGCGCCTGGAGGCAACCTTTCCACCATGGTGGTTATAAAGGATGGCTTTGTGTGGAGGCAGTACTATGATAGCACACATGCGTGAGCAGAAATGTACTCAAGGGCACTTCCATGTCGTTATGGAAAACTGGAATGAAAAGAGAAGGTGCTTTTTCCATGAACTTTTTGAAGGCTTTTCCTGTAAGTCACTTTGCCAACTAAATGAAGGGCAATTCAGAGTCTGGTTTTACATGAGCCTTAGAACACCTATGCAGGTGGGTTCTTGTTTTAACTGAAGTCTGGGTCATTTGGAATCTTTAAAAAGACTGCAATGAGGCTAAAGGAGGAGATCTTCAACCTGAAGGATGCATTTGGTGTCCTAGTCCACTCAGGCTGGGTTCTGTGGTAGGTTGATGAGTAGGGAGTGAACGGGAACATTGGGCACTAGGTATCTTCAAAATGAAGTTAGGCCGTTCCAGGAACTTCTGTGCTACCGGTCCAGGTGGCATTGAAGTTACCCTGTGCTATGTGCTTGGCTGATCTTCTTGTATGTCTGGTTTCATGGTAGCGATCCCCAGTGTCATCTTATTTCCTGTCCCTTTTTAAGGTGTTCTTTTCCCTCAGCATGCCCAAATGTGATGACATCTGAAGAACTGCATTTTCTTTCCCTGGGTTGTGCTGGAACATGTGAACTACCATTGCCTACAACAGCATGAATAGGCTTGGAGAGGGGGTGATGTGCATTCTTAGCTAAATTCCATGTTGATGTAAACCAGTGAATGCTTGATGATGAGGAAGAAACACTGCAACGCAAGTGAAGAAGTCAGTATGTGATTGTGTCAAGGATATCATAAAGCACCCAGTCCTGTGGTCTTGTTCCATTGCCCAACAGTGGATCCTCACCCACAGGCTTTGATCTCGGAGTTCAGCCCACTTGCAGATCATAGCCTACAGAGGTTGACCTCAGTTTCTGGCACCAGCATTCTGTGAATTCAGGATTCCAGACATTACCTGTCCTGCCCTTCCATATCAAGTTGTACTGTTATTTTTTACAAATTGCCTGCACTAGGAACCTTTTGTTAGGAGTGGAAGAGTCAAAATGGTTGTGCACCTTGATTTTCCTAACTGTGTCACTACAGGCTTGGATGACCCCCAGGTGTGAAAGGGCCAGTGTGCTGAATGGACACTCACCCCCTCTGGCTTGTGTCTGTTTTCAGAGCCAACATCACACAAAGCCGCAGTTCCCACTCCCTGAACAAACAGCTCATCATTAACATGGAGCCCCTGCAGCCATTGCTTCCTTGCCCAAGTGAGCAGGAGGAGGAACAACCTCTGGGTGAGGGTAAGTTAGCCACTTGGTCCCAGAGACTGGCATGGAAGATTCACACTGGAGGGATGAAGATGGCACCAATTCTCTGTGTGTTGGGATATGGGTTGGGGCAGGGTCTGGGAGTGAGCCATTGACTATGTTTGTTTCTAGCAAAGAAGCATTTTGCAGCAAGAAGACTATGTTATCATGACAATCCCATCAGTTTCTACTGGAGAGAGCCCACTGGTACAAAGAACTTGTAAAACTATATGCATAAGTGGTAATGGTCTCAGATCAACACCATCCAGTGCGGTAACCACTAGCCATGGGCGGGTACTTGCAACTGTCTTGAAATGTGTTAAAATTAAAGTTCCTCACCTACCCTAGGCAGATTTGCAATGATTAATAGTGACAGATGGCTGGTAGCAACCATGTTGGACCCTAAGATGGAGAACAGCCCATCATCATAGTGACGTCTATTGGAGGGCAATGTTTTTCACTCAAATCACAAGTAAATTGTGATTGTAAAGAATTGTTTACAAGTATCTCTACTCTGGTTATCCCCTTTTTAAGCCTCAGGATTCCCCTAGCCTCTTATTTCCTTTTCCATGGGTACTTTTTCTGATGGATTTGATACAAGATAAGATATATAGAGTTCAGTTCAACCCAGAAGTTGTTATTTTTTTAAATGATGGGGTATGCAAGTTCCAGAGTTCTTTGCTTACTTGAGATGACTTTACTTACTTCAGGGAAAAAAAATCTACTTTAGCACATGCTCAGTGCTGTGAGGTAAAACCACGTTCATTAATTTAAAAGTAAACACAGAGACACACAAAATAAAGTGATTGGAACTCTGAATACATATGTAATGTGCTCTGCCTTAACTTGATTTCATCTTTGGAAATCCAGTTACTGGACAGTTTCAAGGGAGTCAGGTCCTCAAATGATCACCCTCACCTCCAGTATCCATTCAAGAATCGTTGCCATGAAAGAAAACGTATCAGTATGTCTTGGGATGCAGATACCCTTGAGGGAGGCAATAATCACCAATACATCAAAGTATAAAAGTTTCAGAAAATCTGATGTTGATGCAGGAACTGGGAACTGGAGGCACAGAATTCAGTGGGTAGAGGGAGAGGGTGTGAAATGTGGAAGATGAAGACTCACTGTCTTCTGAGACTCCACCCAGGCTACGAGAGATGATGGTGATAACAGAAGTCTTGTTATAGTGGACTTAAGAACTGCTGCTGCAAGTTCCGTGCTAAATTAATCTTGTTAGTCCAAGGGCTCTCTGAATCCATATTGCTTGACCATGATTTTCAACAGATTCTTTGTGGTCTGCATGTACGTGTGCGTGTGTGGGTGTGCACGCGCACACGTGCGTGCGTGTGTGTGTGTGAGTGTGTATGTGTGTGTGCGCGTGAGCATGTGTGTGCATGCGTGTGCGAGTGTGTGAGTGTGTGCGTGTGTGTGTGGGTGCGCGCATGCATGTATGTGCGTGTGTGTGCACGTGTGTGTGCGTGCACATGTGTGTATGTTGCAAGTGAAAGAAAAACAGCTTTTTCTTTCACTTTTTCTGATTCATTTCTCGGCTTTCTCATATGTGCCTGAAATATTGCTTTGTGTGAAAATCCCTATCTGAAGGTCATGGTTACTCAAGATTTAGTGAAGGGGAACTGGATGTGAAAAGGGGAACCCCACACCTGGAATCGTGACTTTATCTAAAATGATGGATGCTTCAATGGGGACATAATTTGGAAGCCAGATTGGTTGGATGATAATCATGGGAAATATGAAAGCTTGGGCTGTGTCTTCCCCAGCAGACCCCACGATGTGAAGGGAATCCTGCTTCTTTCTGAATCTATCAGCCCTTCAATTAAGTGGTTTCATTTTGTTCCACCTTAACATGAGCTTCCACTTCAAGATAATAGCTATATGCATAATACGCATAGTATTGTAATTGGAGTAACATTTTAAAATCTGATTATATAAGCTAGGAGTCCTTAAGCTACCTTTTAATTTTTCCCAGCTGCCTTAAAGCAGCACAGTGGGGCTCATGTTGTGGCGTTATGGGTTAAGCCACTGCCTGTAGCGCCTGCATCCCAATGAGCACCCATTTAGCCTCGCCAAACCCTGGCTATTGCAGCAGTTTGAGGAGTGAATCAACACATGAAAGACTTCCTCTGTCTTGAGGAATGTTTGTGTGCATGTGAACCTCTTTACTTTTGCAATGAATACTGCCTTTAAAAAATAAATCAATCTTTAAAAAAAAGAACCATCATAAATTGTCCCATCAATTGTAACTTTTTCTTCAAAGGACTATAGTAGCTGTATGTCTAATAAAATTGTTTTTTCTAAGAGATTTGTCCTGTTACAGGACAATTTTGGAAGGGAGGTGTCTGAAGATCACATAAATCATAACCACCTCTATTATGCAGAATTAATTTGAAGTTGAGACAGAAGGATAGCATTATTTATTAGTCAATAAATAAAATGCTCCTCTGAAGCTAGAGTAAGGGCAAAATCATCATTTATTTTACTTATTTATTTCTTTGGCACAGTGAGAGAAAGAGAGGAACTGAGAGAGAGAGAGAGAGAGAGAGAGGGAGAGAGAGAGAGATTTATTGATCTTCTACTAAGCTGGTTTACTCCTTAAAAAGCCACATGCCCGGGGTGGCCCAGGTTGAAAACAGGAGCAAAGACCTGGGTTGGAGTTGTAGCAGCTGGAACCTGTGCTATTATGCAATGCTCATGTTGAAGTGTGGCTTAATCTGCAACACAATGCCTGTCCATTTTCCTTGATATCATCATATGAGTATTGATTGCTAGTTAACTTGTGCTTCATGTCTCCTGTGTTTGTGTCAGGCAGTGGAATTCAGACATTTCATGAGACTTATTTTTTGGAATTTTATTTCTGTAATATATTATGCAGCTCCAGAGAAAGATTTGTTTGTATGCGCTTCTAAACTCTGAGTATCTCCAGTCTAAGGATTTTTGCTTCACTCTTACTTCTTGACATTTCAGTGTTTCTTTTATGCCTGAACAAGGAAGCTATCTGCTGTAACTTAATACAACTGGTAGGGCATACTTGCAGTGAGTTTGCTGCGTATGTAAGGATGCCCACCCTCTGTTGTCTCCAGGCTTACAGCCTGGTAGGGAGATGGCAGTGGGACCAAAGGGCATGAGTGGTCCTTCCTCTGAAGACTGATTGTGTGCTCACTTATCTGTGTGTCCTGCTGGTGGTGGGTATCTATAGGTGTCTGGGCAGAGTCTTGTTTCTTTCTTAGAATTGTGGAGAACTTTACATAAAGTTGTGGGTAAAAGAATGAATGACCCAGATGGATTGGAAGAAGGTGATGGGAGTGGCTTCATCCACATGCACCAGTTGCCTGTGTGGTCTCAGGGGTCAGGGCCATGGTGAAAGTGATGAAGAAAGTTAACAAAGGGCCAGATCATATGGGTGTCATGTGCTAAGCTCGAGAGTTTAGTAAAGCTCAACTTGAGAACAGTTGGGAGATGTTGAAAGTTTCCAAGCATGATCATGATCTCATCGTATTTTTGGTGGTATTAGAGGATAGATTTGTGGCAAGTATGAATGGCACCAAGTTTCCCCATTTTAGCATTATTGATCCCCTGGGACCCTTTGTTGGGAGGCTGTGCATTATAGGATGTTCATAGCATCTACTGAGTGGTCTAATAACAGCACCCCAGCAGTCCTGACAGCCAAAAACATTCCCAGATGTTGTCAATCATCTCCTGGGGAGCAAAATATTCTTTCTGGTTAAGGACCTCTATGTTGGAGACACAAACTCCACACAAGAATCATTAGAATAGTTCAGAGGAGAAATTAAAAGGGCATTCTTAGGACAGAAAATGAAACTCGAGAGAAGGCAGTGGAACCAAGACATGGTAAGAGGTGAAGTTGTGGGGACAGAGCCATTGATGTCACAGAAGGTATGCAGATTGTGGACTCTACTATCCAAGTTCTCAGAGATACTTGGTGGGGGTAAAGAAAGTTCAATTTCTTTGTTTAACTGATAAGACTGCTGAGATGCTGGAAGGTTTAAATGATATCTCGCCACGGCTCAGGGAATGGTTGATTGAATACAGTTGGTGCCTTTGAGAGAGTTCTGGGCAGCCACTGATGCCCTGTGCTTCAGACACCGAGTCAAGGAGCCTCAGAGGTCACTGCTCACTTAGATTTTAAATTTTATTTATTTATTTGAAAGGCACAGTTTTAGAAAGAGAGGGAGAGACAGAGAGAGAAAACTTAGATCCAATGTTTCGCTTTCCAAATGGCCATATCAGCAAAGGCTGGGCCAGGCTGAAGCCAGGGACCTGGAACTCCCTCCGGTCTCCTACAGGGGTGATAGGGACCCATGTATTTGGGTTATCCTTTGCTGCTTTACACAAGTGTTGGTAAGGACACAGAAGGAGACAGGGTAGGAACTCATAGCCAGAATGAATTTACTGAAAAAAGTAAGTGTGCACAAGTGGCCAGTTGCTGACATGTAGATGAAATGAACGAACATGTTGCAGTGGGCCTTGGATAGCTTAGGAGACTTGGGTGGGGGGTGGGGGAGGCTGTTTAGAGCTGAGACAGTTTTTCAAGAAATTTTCAGCCTCAGTCAGCCTTACTTTTTGGAAGGTAGGTGGTTGGAAAGGGGCACAGGGGTTGAGTGCGGAACAACACAAGACACAGACTAGTCTGATCTTATGAAATGCAAGCCGTGAGTCTCTGGAGGGATTGGCTCTGATAACAGCCTGGGAGCTTTAATGGGTGAGGAGCTAGAATGGCTGGGGCCTGTGTCCTTTATTCCATCACCTGACATATTAGCAGTGAGCTGGATTGGAAGCAGAGCAGCCAGGACTCAAGCTGGTGCCCATGTGAGGTGGGGCATGGCAGGCAGAGGCTTAGCTCACTTGCCACAACAGTAGCCCCACCGCTCACTTTGATGTTGTTGTGATCTGTTTTTACATAGTGGCTAAGATTTTGGCTCCAGAGGAGTCAATTCATTCATAAACACATAAAG